AAATCCACAACCACATCATCATGCACTAAAGCACACCAAATTCATACACAAGCATATTTAGGCTCATGTCTCCATACAAGACATTTTTACATTTCATTAGATAATTTACCAAACACAAGCACATCACGTATTCACACACAAAACTCATAGTATAATCCACGTTGCTAGCGTCTAAGGCTATCAAGAACACCTCAAACACACTACATCATCATCTAGCAAAAACACATAATTTATTTAAAGAACACCTTTCGCTGAGCAAATTCCATCACAAAGAGAAAAAATTTTGTTTTTACTTTTTAATAAATATCAAACTTGATTTAAATCGTCATTTCATAGAGACATGAAAAGAAAAATAAAAAGTTTTAGTATATCTAAAAGGACTCCAAATTAATATAATACATATAGATAAAGTAAATCATCAAGGAAAACAAAAAATATAATTAAAAAAGAAATATATATATATATATATATATATATATATATATTATTTTGTGTATATAAGATATTTATATAAGTGAATATAAGAATACTCTAATACCACTTATCTTAAATTAATTGATGTAAAAATATTATAATTTAACTGTTAATTTTTGTATTCGAGTGCCAATAATAAAGATATCAACAAATTACAAAGTTAAAAGATAAATTAAAAGGAAAAAGAATTATAATAAAACCAAATTGTAATTCTATAATTTTGTTCAACATTATCATTTATTATAAATAACAAATAATAAATATTTATAAAGTAAGTATATTCATTATTATAACATATAGTATTTTTTATGAGATGATAATAAGTAAAGTTATGTTCAAATTTATAACAATTTTGTTATAACTAATCATGGTTAAACCAACCATAGGTTAGGTTATCCTTCTTTATGTATCGTTTGGATGAATTGATTTAGTCAGGAATAAAAATCAAGACAAAAGTATAAATTTTTAGGTGTACATTTGTTTGAAAGACACATACATTAATTAAAAGAGAAAGAAAACACGAACGTGGGATCCACGCCACGGAATTTTCTATACAGAAAGAAAACATATCCAATGAGTGAGACTTCTTCAATGACAAATACACCGTTATATTATACGTTGTGATATTATAAAGATTTGAAAGCATATTTATTTATTTTAAGATTACTTACATTAATTATTATATATCATTCAATAATTTCCAATTGAATAATTTAATTTCAAAACCCATCATGGTTCAATTAAGAGATTTTTAACATTCATCGTAACTTGGTGTAAAAAAAAAAAGCATTCATCGAAGCTACAGAGTTTTATATTAAATATACAACTATTTGACATCTTATGCATATATACTAAATTTGACATAATATATATATATATATAT